CTCAAAACTAAAAAGTTGTAGATCTCGCCGAGATCTATAATTTTCAGATAAAAATTATTTTTATTTAATTCCAAAAAAAAGATATGATTTGATATGATTAATATATCTTAGAAAAATTATATCTTTTTGCGGTATTAAAAGAAGATAATTTTTACATGAAAATTATAGATCTCGACGAGATTTACAACTTTTTAGTTTTGAGTTTTTTTATTTGAAGTCGTTAAGATGCTAAAAAAATTTAATGACATATTTAAATTTAAGGGTATTTTTGACTTTTCACATCTGCAGTATGATATCGTTAGAGCCCAATTTAATAGAAGTGACGTAGAGAAAAAAAATTGAAGCCGTGATGCTGAAGACCCGCTGAAGTGCTCACCGGCTATTACGATTATTTTTTAATGACTCACGGGAATTCTCTCGTATATATAAATCCACCAACCTCATCATCACGCCCCAACCACACCACGCCTGCCGTTCTGTCCGCCGCCTCCTGCCCTCCTCCAGTCCACCTCCAGCGCCCGCCGATGGAGTCCCTGGGCGTGCTGCTGCTCTACCCGGTGAACGCGTACCTGGAGCAGGAGCTGGACCGCCGCTGCCGCCTGTACCGTTTCTGGGAGTCGCCCCGCGAGGAGTTCCTCCGCGCGCACGCGGGCGCCGTCCGCGCCGTCGTCGGCAATGCCAACTACGGCGCCGACGCCGCGCTCATCGACGCGCTCCCGGCGCTCGAGATCGTCGCCTCCTTCTCCGTCGGCATCGACCGCGTCGACCTCGCCAAGTGCCGCGAGCGCGGGATCCGGGTCACCAACACCCCCGACGTCCTCACCGACGACGTCGCCGACCTCGCCGTCGGACTCGCCATCGCCGTGCTCCGCAGGATCCCGCAGGCCGACCGCTACGTCCGCGCGGGGCTCTGGAAGTCCAGGGGCGACTACACCCTCACCACGCGGGTGCGTCGCTTTGTTTTCCCTGCTCCCTGTTCTTCTTCTCCTACTTATTAATTGTTCATTCATTATATACCGAATTTCATCTCGTCCTTGATGTACCATACATGCATACTGTGCTTCATTCTACGAATTGGGGGAAAAAATAGGAATCCAGTATATGGTACTTTTGCGATCTAGTAATTTTTTTTTAGTATATAGTGAATATGATGATAAATTGGTACTTTGGCGGTGTGAACCTCAGTTCCATATTCTGTGTACTATTAGGCATCTACTTTAGACAGATTGGTTGAGGTGAGGATAGTACTCCTGTGAGGACGAGGTTTATTGGCAGCACAAGAGGGGCGAGTTACTACCGAATAAAAAGAGGGAACTATCTATATCAATAGGGTTGATGAACGAGAGCACAAATTCTAATGCAATCAAAGATAAAATGATTTTGTTTCATGTCATATGTTGCCTTTCTCAAATTTGGTTGTCTCATTTGAACATTTCCTGTATACCATGTGAAAAACATAGATTGGCAGCACCTGAGTGGAAGGCGCTTTCGGCAGATTAAACAGTCACATTTTCGGAACTAGCCTAGCCCTGGGGTACGGTAAAATTGGATCCTATCTTACTGAAATTAAAAGGGGTTGTTGGGCTTCTTAAAGCCACAAATGTTGCTTCTCGGGATGACGTGCTTTCAAGTGGAAATCGAAGATGGGGAGGACCACATCCTTTTAATGTTGATGTTTGTAGGTTGAGAATTTTCTGGGGTCTAGAGATGGTTATCGCATCTGCACATGAAAACATTGGATGCTGTGTTTTTTATCACCTTTCACTAGGAGAACCCTATCCGTAGGAACTTTTTTGGCATTGTTCCTGATGACATTACATGTAATCAGGTTAGTCATCTGTCAAACTTAATCAAGGTTCGGTTAGGTTGCTTGTTTAAACCGTGAGGTCATCGATGCGTTGGGTCCAGAGGGCGTGCTCGTAAACGTTGGCCGCGGAGCACACGTGGACGAGCCCAAGCTCGTGTCCGCGCTCGTCGAGAGACGCCTGGGAGGAGCAGGCCTCGACGTGTACAAGCACGAGCCCGTGGTTCCGGAGCGGCTTTTCGGTTTGGATAATGTCGTCGTGGTGCCTCATGTGGGCAGCGACACTGAAGAAACGTGCAGGGCGATGGCTGACCTAGTGCTAGGAAATCTAGAGGCGCACGCGACGAATAAGCCTCTGCTCACTCCGGTGATCTGATTGTTGCTGGTAGGCACTTGGTCAGATATTAGTAGTAGAAGAACATGACGCTGTGGTTGTAATCCCAACTCTGCACTCTGCTATTTTTTTTTTGGTTTGCCAGTCAGTAGGCTGTTACTCAGATCAGCCATGATTAATAAGAGTACCTATCTATGGAGATACTCTCACATTGACATATGATTGTCGCTAGCACTTGGTCGATCGGAGATTAGTTGAAGGTCATGACACTATGATTTGTAATCCCAACTCTGCACTCTGCTATTTTTAGTTTGCTACTAGTCAGCCTGCCATCTCCAGGGGCATGCTGTTCTCCTTTTTAAGTCAGGTTGTTACTCGACCAGACATGATTAATAAGAGCATCTATCATCTATGGAGATACTCACATTGGCGTATGATTTGGAGTTTCATCATTTCTTCTTATCTTTTGCTGTGTGGTGTGGCCAGAGCAATGAGCATGATGCATTCTTCACTTTGCTGTCATGAATGGATGTTTCCCTTTTTTTGTCAACCTTGCTGACTTAGTAATGCGCATCATTGACATATTCAGCTCTGATTTCCTGACGCAAATAATTCTTCGTGTCGTCATTGCATTGCAGTTCAGCGGGAAGAGAGTGGGCATCATCGGGCTGGGCAGGATCGGGCAGGCGGTGGCGAGGCGCGTGGAAGCCTTCGACTGCCCGGTGAACTACCACCAGCGGACGGAGCAGAAGTCGGTGTACCCGAACTACACCTACTACCCGACGGTGGTGGAGCTGGCGTCCAACAGCGACGTGCTGGTGGTGGCGTGCCCGCTGAACGCGTCGACCCGGCACATCGTGAGCCGCGAGGTGATGGAGACGCTGGGCCCGAAAGGCGTGCTGATCAACGTCGGGCGCGGCCCCCACGTCGACGAGCCCGAGATGGTGGCGGCGCTGGCGGACGGGCGGCTCGGCGGCGCCGGGCTGGACGTGTTCGAGGACGAGCCGAACGTCCCCGAGGCCCTGCTCGGGATGGACAACGTCGTGCTGGTGCCGCACGTCGGCAGCGGCACCTACGAGACGCGCAAGGCCATGGCGGACCTGGTGCTGGGGAACCTCGAGGCGCACGTGCTCAGCAAGCCGCTGCTGACTCCGGTGGTCTGATGAGTCCGAGCCTCGTCGGCACGGCTGGCTGCGCGTGGTGTTTTGAATAACAGCAGGTAGGCGCAGCGCGCCAGCGCCTGATGATGAACTCCCTCAGCTAGTGGGGATTGAAATGTTTTGTGTCGAAATGATCGCCGCTTGTGAAATGAAACTGAAATGTTGTCGATTCTTCGTGACGAGAGAGTAGCCAGTGCATATATACACGAATGGGGGATGGAGATGCATGCAGCGGCTGTGGCTGACGACCTGGCCCCACGCACGACCAGCCGGTGTCTTTCATGGGCGGGGCGAACAAGTGGAGAAGAAGCAAGAGAGTCCCGGCCCCACTGACGTGTGGGGTAGCATGCTACTCATCACGTTGAGGAGTGAGCCGAGCGGAAGGGACGGGGACCCAACGCCTCATCTCACCTCCCGTCCCGTCCATTTCTCGCGGCGACCAAGACGACGCACCAGAGTCCAGAGAGAACGAGATCTAGACGACGAGGAGCTGAGGAAGAGGCACAGGAAGCAGGAGAACACGTACAGGAGAGGTAAGCAAGCAAGCGCCCTCTTCTCCATGGATCCACATCCATCTTCCTTCTTCCTCCCTCGCTCCCTCCTCTGCGCATGGCCTCGTGATTCGATTCATCTGTTGCCTACCTTGCCTTGCGTGGTTCTCCGTCGTCTCTGTCGCTGGATCCTGCTGACTCCTCAGGCCGCGCGTGCCCGGCCGGCCTCGCATCTGATCCACACCACACGGCCGAGCGATCGTTTGGTTCTTGGCGCTTTATTACATTGCATTCCAAGGTTCACTCATCAGTGCATGTGCGTGCGTGCATGCCTCCTCCTCCTCCTCTTCTTTTGCCATGCATCTTGTCTTGGCGATCCAATATAATGTCTTGACTTCAACTACCTACAGTACGTGCACCCGGAACATGCGGTCCGTGACACTGCACCTTCTGTTGTGCTCCACGGACACACACGCTCCTCGTGCCGACACGTGTCCGCCTCACCTAGCAGCGACGCCACTCCACTTGCCACCTGCTCCTCCTATGTGCACTGCTCGCCAGTGACTGACACGTGCCTTTTCGCCCCCAGCCCACCTGGCAATGTGTATATACTCCTAGTATGCAACAAGCTACAGTTCAAGTGGTAATAGCTACGTGTGACTGAGATTACGGGTCACCCTTTTCATCCATCCATTCATTGCAATGGCTATAGTTAGTCCCAAAAGAACCTCTCTCTCTCTCTCTCTCTCTCTCTGGGAATGCAAGTCCAAACAAAGCTCTTCTTGACGACTAGCATATCATGGCATTTTTTGTTTTTTGCATTTTTTGAATTGACAAAAACACGGAGTAGTATCTCTGGCAAGGCGGTGTGGGATTGGATGGACTTGATATCTCTACCTGCACACGCCACAATGCCTTGCCTGCCCAGTTCCTATCTATAGCTTGTGCATAGTTGCAAGCATAATGCACATGCAATTTTCAACAAAACACAAGCTGAAAAGAAAAGGCAGTAATGGCATTGCCTCACCAATCTTGTATATCTTCTTCCACAGTGGCTCCAAAGGCCAGCTGGCTACGGCTACCTTCCTTCCTTGTTCTTTCATAACGCAGATGCAAAGTCATACGCTTTTTTTTTCCCAATTATTATTATATTGCAGGTTGTTAGTCTCACTCTCAGCAAGAACGAACCGCGCGTCCGTCCGGCAGGCGCGATGAAGCGCGGGGCGTCGGAGTCGTCGGACGCGACGAGCCAGGCGACGACGACGCCGCCGCGGACACCCAAGACCCCGAACAACAAGCGGCCGGCGTACTACGTGCAGAGCCCGTCCCACGACGGCGGCGGCGACAAGTCGTCGTCGTCGACAACGACGACGACGGCGCACACCACGCCGGTGTACAACAGCCCGCTCGAGTCGCCCTCGCACGCTTCCTCCACGGGCCGCCACTCCAGGGTCTCCTCCGCCACCCGCTTCTCGGGCACGCTGCTCCGGTCCGCCTCGCCAGCCGCCAGCAGGTCCGCTGGCGCCGGGCGGAAGAAGCGGCACGGCGGCGGATCTGGCCTCAAGAAGAAGAAGTGGCGCGAGGTGGGCAGCGTCATTGACGAGGAGGCGGCGGACGAGTCAGACGACGAGGTCGACCAGGAGCAGGAGGAGGAGGAGGAGCTCCCGGTGTGCTGCGGGGTGGTCTTGTGCGCATTGATCCTCGCGTTCGCCGCCGCCTGCCTTGTCGTCTGGGGCGTTGCTCGCCGCTACAAACCCACCGTCGTCGCCAAGGTACATCACATCGATTACTGTGCGTGTTTAGCGCAGGAATTGTATTGATTCAAAGGAATCGATTTCTAGGATGCTCGCCACTAGGAGAAGATCGATCCGCATTCTTGCATGAATGACCATTGTGATCTCTGAACTTTTGAAGTTCACGCAGCATTCCCATCAACTGAACCGAACTCCCTAAATTCATGCATATACCGTATTCTATCACGTTCGCTTAATGTATCAGCCATGATACATTGTTTTTATCTCACAACAAAATAGCATCATCCGGCTTATAAGCCACAGAAACGATCAAACGAACAGGGTTTGATCATATGCAGAGACCAAAAAAATTCCTTATTTTTTCTAAATAAAAATACCTATTGTTCATGCTGTCAGGTTCCTATTGTTACAAATTAAAGATTGCTGTGTGTTCCATGCATGTGTGCAGAGCCTGACAGTGCACAACTTCTACGCCGGGGAAGGCACGGACCGCACCGGGGTGCCGACGAAGCTGGTGACACTAAACTGCTCGCTGGCGATGTCCGTCCACAACCCTTCCACCATGTTCGGCATCCACGTCTCCTCGAGCTCCATCCGGCTCATGTACTCGGAGATCGCCATCGCCACCGGTCAGGTACGCGTCCTTAGTCCTTACTGCAATCTCTCTCACCATGATACAAACGCAGGAAAGAATTCCCTCCCCTTCAGCTGGTCTCTCCTCTCCTCTGCAGCTCCATAAGTTTTACCAGCCGAGGAAGAGCCGCCGCGCCGCGGCCGCGGTCCTGCACGGCGAGAAGACGCCGCTCTACGGAGCCGGCGCCACGCTTGTGGTGGCTAACGACGCCGGAGGCAAAGGGAAGGTGCCGCTGACGCTGGAGCTGGCGGTCAAGACCAGAGGGCACGTGATCGGGAGGCTTGTGAGGGTGAAGCACGCCGTGCGCGTCAGGTGCCCGGTCGCCATCGACCCGGGCAGCTCCAGGCCGGTCAGATTCCGTCGGAGCGATTGCAGTTACAGGCGACGATGAGCTGAGTTTGCAGCGGCTTGATCAGCTAGAGAAGATGCGATGCATGCATGGATCGATCACCACCTTCTTCTTCTTCTTATTTGTTCGTCGTCGTCGTCGTCGTCTCTCTGGCTGGATTAATAATGGCTGTCATCTTGTTTCTTGTAGATATAGTTGCGCCTATATATGTTCTGTTCATAACCCGGATGGAGATCGACTAATAACCAGAGAATGAGAGAAATGATTTCGGCAGCTTTCTGGGATAACTTGTGATTTGTGATTTGCATGATAGCAGCAGGCACTACGTGAAAAACGGTTTGTGGCAACAGGACAAATTTTTTTAGGGGCGGCTGGTGATGGAGCCGCCCCTATAGTGGCGTGCTCCGGAGCCCAGAGATCAGTCGCCCCTACAAATGGAACAGCATGGGCGGCTGGTGATACGAGTCGCCCTTACAAATGAGTCTGATTTATAGAGGTGGCTCACTCACTAGGCGCCTCCGGTGTTTCTATTTGTAGGGGCGGCTCAATCACCAGCCGCCCCTACAAATGACTCTGACTATATATTCTAGAGCACAGTCGGAAAATATCTTCAGAGCTTCTCTTCCCCTCCCCTCTCTTTCTCTCCTCTACGCTCTCTCCCCCTCCCGACGCGAGCAGCAGCCAGGGCGACGGCGGCTGGCGCGAGCGGGCCAGCGGACGCCACAGCCGCCCTCCTCTTCCTCCACGCCTCCCCCCCTCGCGCCCCCTCCCCCCTTGCGCCGCAGGGGCGCGGCGACGGCGGCCCCGGCCAAGTCGCCAGTGCAGCGGGTGGTGGGTGGCCGCCCCTGGCTGCGGGGGCCCCAACGGCTGCCGTCCCCGGGCACGGCGCCTACCGGTGGTCGTCGGCTCGGTTGCCCCCGATGCGACATCTCGTCTGCTCCATGAAACCCTAGGTGCCTGTCTCTTCCTCTTCCTCTCCCTCTGTCTCGATCTCTCTCTTCGGATGTGCCTGTCTCTTCGTATGCTCCATGAAGCTCCTCAAGGAGGCGAAGAAGTTGCGGTTGGCCTCCTCCTCTTCTCTGTCGGCTCAGACTCAGATATTTGCTTGTGGCAATGGCGTTGTTCTCGGAGGCTCCCCCGGGAACCCCAAGGTGGGCGAGAAGATCTTCAAGACCAAGTGCGCGCAATGCCACACGGTCGAGAAGGGCGCCGGCCACAAGCACTGAACAACAACACGAATCCGGATGAGATGAATGAGCGGATGCTCCGGTCATGCAAATCCCTCCCTGATGCTTTTCCCTCGAGAAGAGCTTTTTTTGTTCGTTGATTTTTAGAGTACTTCCTTCTCGACTGGAGAGCACTTCGGGCAGAATCTTATGTTGAAATTTAGTGTGCTGTGAAGGCTGGACAAGAGGCCCATAGGCTCCCTAACCCCCAAACCCTAGCCATTGGCTCAACCCCCGTCGGCGCCCTCCCCCTCCCCCCTACATCCGAGCCCTCCCTCTTCTCTCCACCGTGTGGGTGCATGCGACCGCGCGGCACGGCCGCCACCGCCCCCGTCAGGCACGTCGGGCCTCCCGGATGGCGCCCCCTGATAGATCATTGCACCTCTAGAATCGTAGATCATGGGATAAAACTTGACTTAGATGGGGAAGCTTGGTGATGTACCTCGCCCTAAGGCAGTTGCGGCCATAGCGCCACAGTGACGTGGTCGCCGGTGGCGCGGTGTCGTAGTCGAACGCCGTGCGGTGGAGACGCTGTCCAGTGGCGACGACGAAGGCAATGGCACTTCCCGTCGCTCACAGTGCTCCCTTGATCGGTTAGGGTTAGGTGGGGAGTGGTGGCTACGGTGAACCTCGTGTCACGAGCCCCAGTTCCCACCTCCTTTACATAGCGCTGCGCGACGGGGGCCCACCAGCCAGGAGAGCGGCTGGGCACCCCCGATCTGGGCGCGAGTCAAGGGCCCAATTGGTCGTTGGGCCAAATTGGTGGAGATCATCCTAACATTCTTCCCCTTGATCTCACCTTATGACTTAAACTCAACTTACTTTATCTTTTTCTCATTCCATCATAGATCAATGCATAGAGCGTGCCTCATCGTCACGGTCAGTTGCCACTAGATTAAACAGCTATAATGCACCTCTCAGTTTTGAAACAGATACTCAACTAGGCCCTTAGTATCCAGAAATTATAGGCTTTCCCATAAACCCATGTTGATTGTGTGTTCTCTGAACGCACTGGGTGGTAAGCCTTCGATAAGCGGATCCGCAAGTACTTACTCGGTACTTATGTGCTCAATGCTTTCAAAATGATTCTGGATCTTCTCCTTTACAACATATACCTTAGTGTCAATGTTATTGGCAGCACACTTGACTTGTTGTCTTATGAGTTAACTTTCTTTAAATGGTTATTGCTGTTGTCTACCATTGTTAAATCCGGGTACAAATTCCCTTAACCTCCTTTTGCCTGTTCCTTAAGCCTCATGACAAGCTATACTATGGTATGCATCACTAATGACATCACAACTGTTTTTTTGGAGCTTTTCCACAATAATACTCTAACTGCGAGTGTTAGCAACTGTTGTGGATTTCACTACACATCTCGCCAAGACTTAACTTTTTGTACCATCATCTATTTGAGAGTACTTATTCTTTCTTACTCAGCATGAGGCCTATGATACTTTGCAAATTGCAAGACATTCTCAACTCAATTCCAGTGATCTATATCTGAACTAGATTTTTGCTAAAATATCCCAGATACATAAACTACGTTAGGCTAAGTTCTTACTTGTACTTGTACACACATCAAGCTTCCAACAACTGAAGCATATGGAACCATATTCTTTTGATCGATCTCATATTGGTTCCTGGAACACTTAAGGTTGCCAAATCTATTACCCTTGACTATAAGAGCAGGCATAGGTTTACTTGCATGCATACTTTATTTTTCTAGAATCTTTTCTAAGTATGCATTTGCGATAGTCCTAATACCCCATTTTCTTCTATCTCGATGAATTTTGATTCCTAGAACCAGTGACGCTTCACCAAGATCATTCACATTGAAACTTGAGGATAAAACTTCTTCTTCTCTAATAACAGATTAACATCACTACTAGTGAGTAAAATGTCATCTATTCATAGGATGTGGAAAATGAATTTTCCATTCTTGAACTTCGCATAAACGCTATTGTCCTTCTCATTTTCTTTAAAACCCAAACTTTCTTATTGTTTCATCAACTTCAAATACTACTGTCTAGAGACTTACTTTTAATCCATAAATGGATTTTTTTAGGCGGCATCCCTTAAGTTCTTTTCTTCCACGACAAAAACCTTTGGGTTATGCCATATAAACGTTTTCATATAAATCCCCATTTAGGAATGCCGTCTTTACATCCATCTGATGTATTTCTAAATTGTAATGTGCCATGAACACCAATATGATTCTAAAAGAATCCTTGCATGAGACTGAAGATAAAGCTCTCATTTTAATCTTTTTATTCTCTTTACGTAAAGCATATTGCTACAAGTCGTGCTTTATATCTTTCTACATTCCCTTTGGAGTCACATTTTGTCTTGTAGACCCATTAGCAACCTACTGTTTTAGCTCCACTAGGAATTACTTCCAAGTCCCAAACATCGTTGGTATTCTTCGAATTCATTTCAACTTTCATAGCTTCTTGCCATTCAAACGAGTAAACGCTTCTCATGGCCTCTTCAAATGAGGTGGGATCATCCTCCATTTGAATTTCTTTACGAACATAGACTTCATAGTCATCAGAAAAATTGGTTTACTAATTCTTTGAGATCTTCTGGTGCCTCAGCTACTGGCACTTTCATATGAGACTGTTGTTGCTCTTCATTGCCAAGAGGCAATTGATTCTATAGGCTCCTGTATCACAAGATCCTTGTTTACATTATTCATCTTCTTTGAAAAGCTAACAACAGGTGTTGTATAAGTCATACAACATCTACAGGTATTGAGAGATTCGTTGTTTTGAATCACTGAAGTGGGCATGCAGTCCTGCTTCTCTTTAAGTCTTAGGTCTCTACATACCTCTACATACCATGCTCCCCTAGATCTTCCCATCTTTTCTAAAGATAGTGTATCTTCAAATATCTTATTTTGGGTTTAATACGTTAAACTCTCATATGGCACTTTAAGCACCACCTTAACATCTTTGAGACTGACTACGCTATTTTCCTGTCGGAACTTTAAAAGGTCCAGGAATTTAGCTATTTCTCTGCTTAGGGGTATCATTGGTGTAACCGTTGTACTCCTCCAACGGTCCTTATCTCACTCTCAATGAAGAATATCTTTCTTAATTGATCTTTATCTCACTCTTAATGAAGAGTATTTTCTTAATTAATCTTAATATTCTTCTCCTCGAAATATGGCATGAACTTTACTACCATAATTTCGAGAACCATTAAGAAAAACTGTGAACAAGGAGACATATATAACTTACTTCATTCACATGATTGTGTCATGTAAACAAAGTTATTTCTTGATCCGTTTAGGGGTACACTTTCCTTCATTCACTTTAAAAACTCAACGAGGTCTATCATTAGCAGTGCTTTTTGCAAGTCACACTTGCATCTTTTCTTATCTTTTGGTTAGTATTGACCATAATGTTGCATTTCTATTGTGCCAAGGTCAATACTAGGCCAGCATAAGAGCTACCCAAACTTCTCTCGCTATGCGGGATACAAAACATGTGAATCATCATAAAACTTCTCCCGTCATGCAGGATTTACTAGCATAAGTACTGTGCCAAAACTTCTCCCATGCGGGATAGATCTATACCAGACTTAGTCATGACGACTAAAACATTACTTATACTTCATTTTCTAATAAAATCTTCTCGTTGATTCTAATTTAATCAGAAAATTAGTAAACTAGCAAAAATAGTCCTGAACTAGCTTGACTCAACCCTTTTCATTCACATACCCCAGCATTGCAGCCCGTTGGCATACAGCCGAGTGATCTCGTCGGTTAAACAAACAAGGTGCTTCTGCATCAATTCTACATCACCGTTGGGCAAAAAATAGAATTAATGCATAAAACTCATAAATCAACTTGAAATACATACAACTACTCAAAATTAAATTCTTCCGTTGGTTCGAATTTAATTAGAAGATAATCAACACTTCATCGTAGCGAAAACATGTTAATAAAATACATTCTATTAGTTCAGGAATATTTCTTGGTCCTTATCTACTCTCTGAAAAATTAACCATGTTGATGTGAAATTTATCAGAGATTTAAAACTCAAACTTGAACTCATTATAATATTATCATCATCAACGTTGGTCAGAAAATGACAATACCATAATCTGACTTAAACAAAATGGACTACTCCCTAATTAAATTTTCCTGTTGGTTCCAATTTAATTAGAGGATAAACATGATCATAATTTACTAAATATAACTGCTCTTCAAATCAAATTCTCCCGTTGGTTCAAATTTAATTAGAAGATAAACAACATTAAACTTTGCAGCGAAAACTTGATAAATTGTTTATCTACTTTTCAGAAGCATCTCATTGTACTCATCTACTCCATGAACAATTTATCCCGTTGGTTCAAAATTGAATAGACATTAAAACTAATCAAAATTCATCAAGATTCGCTTCTGAAAATAAATTAACAAATTTATAGTCATTACTGTGCATTCGGCCCGACCCTTCAGGTGCTCGCGCATGGCCCAACAACGCACAGCAGCGCGTGGCCCAGCAACGCACAGCAACGCGCGGCCCAGCAACGCCTGCACACGTGCCCGCGGTGCCTCCCCGCGCCCACGCCATAACCTGGGCCTGGTCCGGGATTTCTCTCGTCCGCCTGGGCTGAATTCGGTCCAGACGATCTCGGCCACTGGTTTGCATCCGACGGCCAGGCATCAACATCACGAGGTCAAAACCAAAACCCGACCATGGCTCATCCCCAAAAAAACCCTAGACTCATTGTCCTTCACCCCATTCCTTTCTTCAGCGCCGCAAGGGGCAGCGGCGGCAGCCGCGCTGACCGTCGGTGCCGGTGAGGAGATGGTGCCGCCAGAACTTGTCCTAGTCGGCTCTCCTTCCTCGTTCCTTTCTCTTCCCTCTTCCATTTCTTCTCTCAGCGTCATAGCCGAGCGTCGAAGGGGCAGCGGTGGCTACCCATGACCACCGGGGAAAAAGTGACGGCGCCGCCGCGGGGCCCCTCGCCGGCACGCGAGCTCGCCCGAGGGT